CAACTAAAATTCTCGTTGATACATGTATGTGTTCCTTGGCCAGTGATATAATGCCATTACATATACTAACTTACTATTTACAAAGTGTAAACGAAATTATTTGTGCAACTTCAGTAAATAGTTTTGTACTTTGCATATAAAATTGTGGTCATAGAGTTTTAAGATACTCAAATATCACCATTGCATTATATGAGAAGAACACAGATTTTAGTTTTCTTGGTCAAATAATACGGACTCTACATCATTCAACGCCTTTATTATATATTGGAAAAATCGCGTAAATAGAATGTGAACCAGCCAACACTGTTTGGGATAGGCTTTAACTCAGAGTGGTAAACTGTGATGGATTATAAGGTAAGGATATTTCATAACGTTTCACAATGAAGCAGAATGTGTTCAGATTGTAAATGAGTGGTAGGAAAACATTTCATGTACAACTCTTGATTCCAGAAATTGGAATCCTGCACTGAAATCTGAATCTCCAATTGTCGTCTTCTCTCTGTCTATCTTCAATGAATCCAAAAAGCGCCCTCCTTGTTGAGAGAGTTTTTTGATTGTCAATGCGCATTCTACGGTTGAAAGCTAATTTACCAGATTCTATACATGTATAAACGCTATTGCATCAAGGCAAAACACTAATACAACGTCTATAATCAGTCGAATTCAGTGTGAACACTAATCACTAGGGTTCATTACCAAGTATTACTTAACCGCGAATATCATTTACTTTTAAAATGTGTAATATGTATATTATCAAATAAACACCTTCTGAACCACATATTGTCAACAGCTTATTCGCTTATGTCAAGCGAAATGTTTGTGCCACTATTTTGATTTTGTTTACAATATCGAAAGTTGTGTAACTATCATAAATATGTAAATGTAGAACTTGATGAAGCAGTTATCGAAGAGACTATTCTTGTTTTACGCACCATGTTTCTGAAATTTGTAATGGCAGACGTTATGGAACTAGTCGGTCGTCCAAATATTTCCAGCTCATAACCGATATAACAGATAACTTCAATGATCATATTCCTTGCAGTGATAAGCCATCGCTCTGACGGGGAAACAAATAGTCAAGGTTCACAATGTATTCATCTACTTCATGGTTGATTGGCCACTAGAATTCAGTCGAATTCTCGAATTATTTCTGCTAGCACTCCGCTCACTATAAAGACAGTTTTAGCATTTCGACCGACGTTTTTCATCCGAATGCGAACGCATAAATCTTCTACCCATGTGTACTAGGAATGTGAAATTCAAGCAAACTGTATACGGAGAGGAAGAAACCGACCAGTCTTCCGAAAGCCTGGATTCACAGAGGGCGAATCATCTGGATAAATTGAATGGAGGGTGAATGCCCGCCTGTCATGACCTGGCAGGTGGAGATAACAAAATCAGAGTTTCAAAACCACAAAAGGTAATCCGTGTGCGCGTAAGTTCCAATCAGTTGTATCTCACCTAATCTGTAGCTGTTAATCTGTTGAAAATCTGGCCGTCCTTTCAGAGATACAGGGTTGTTAGCCCTTCCCTTCTCTGACTGAAATATATTCCAATTTGTTATTTTAACTAATTTTGACGATAATATTTTATGCGCCTTTGTTTATGAATGTGATGAGGATAACCAACGAACCGGAACAACCACCAGCACAAATCACCATCAACAGGATATCCTTAACAGAATTTGCCTCCCTCACTTATCCGGCTAGGAAGCGTCTTTCCGACTACAGGCGCAACGGACGGAGATGTCAAATTCAGAATCGGGACAGCAAGGTACACCGTCATCAACCTGAAACCAGTTTGAAAATCTTCCGCACTTAGCATAAGCAGCCATATTTGCATATTATTCACCGATGTGAAGTTGGTCGGTGCTTCTATACGGGTCACAAACTTGACCAAAGTGTCACGTAAAACATTTTTAACAGGTTGCAAACTTCCATCAACACCTGTAGACTTCAATGGCTTCATACTGAAGTTCAAACAGCTAGAAAGAATAAGCGACAAGAAATTATGGTAACAAATCAACCAAGAGTCAATCCCTCAGGAAATATGTAAGAAACATGGAGATGGATGGATCAGACATACATTGAGTACGCCGCTGAATGACATCGCACGTCAGGCCGTCGAGTAGAATTTCAATGGGAATCGACGAGTGGGTCGTCCTTGGGAGACACGGAGGTGATCGTGTGAGGAGGCGATGAGAGTTTGGTCAGTCGTGGACCCAGCTGAAGAGGACGACAGAAAAAATGTAGCAGATTATTACATATTTTATGATATAGTTTTTCGTCATTGACATTCAGTTTTAGGCATCCATTATTTTTAAGCGAGTTGCCCGCTAATGCCTAGCAAGGCCAACGAACTAACGTTCAACGTTCACGTTCATTTACACACAGATATATATACTTTGAAAATCACATTGGGAGATGTAAGACTGATTACCAAATAAACTACATTGAGTCAGTCATGAAGAAAGGAATCTGTCTTTATTAGTTTGCCATTGAAAGAGATTATGTACAAGAAGTTGTCAAACGAAGACTCGATAAAGCTCTCAAGATGAGTTATTATTCTACATAACCTGTTAGGCTAAACATCGCCAAGCAATTGCTTCAACAATCTGAGAAGGACCGGTCGCCAATTCTTGCCACTTCAAACCGCGAATATCGCTTTGAGTGTGTTTGTGGAAGCAAATACACAGGTCATACAGAAAGGCGATTGTCTGCTCACATGATGGAGTATTTGCCGAAAGAGTTGAAAACGGCTGAATGAAAAGTGCCAAAAACCTGAATAACAAAACATCTTGTGGACTATGGACATGATATTGACACTGTCAAGTCATTCACTATTGTCAGCAGACAGGGAAACAGGGAGATGCTTGCAATTGCAGAGGCTTGTGCAACTCAAGTTTATAAGCCAGGTCTCTGTGATGGTCATCACTCTGAATATACCATGGTAATACGTTTTATTTATTATTCTACCTCTTATCATTATTATTATTATTCTTGATTCATTTAAAACCATCTTTCATCAGTAGGATTATCTTAACTCACTTCAACGTTATTATTATTGTTATTATTACTGTAACTGTTAATATTGACATCACTCTCTTTACAATTCTTGATATATCCTCCAATGACTACTTGTTTATCTAAGTGATGTAATTGAAGCGTGAATTTATTTGATTCTGTGTTATTAACCTTTGTTGCTTGTTTTGAACTCGTATCGGGAAAGAAATGTTTTTAATTTAAGCGAAGGTGAAGGTGGTGAGAATCTGTCAAATTTTCCCAAAGCACAGGTGTTTATATCAGGAAGCGAAATGTCGTACGTTATAGGATAATTAACTTGTTTTTAAGTCTGATTGCGAGATAATATTTCACTCCTTCATTGTCAATCGCTGATCACCAATCTATAGTTGGACTGAATCATTGTCTCGCTTGCCTTACACATGTCAAATTCAATCGAGCTGAAGTCGTTTCATGATGCTCAGGCCCTTCATTTTTCTCTGTTTTACCTTCAGAATCTTCCTACCACACGGTTTAGTAGTGTTAGACCTTATTTTCTTTAATAGTTTTATCAGGTATCCGATCTTACACTCAGTTGGTGGCCTCTCTTAATTCTAAACCTTCTGTACTATTGGCGTACGAAAACCTACTGAGGTGTCTGCATTCTTTATCAGTGCTATCGAAGCTGTATATCTGGTCAGGCCACATTCGTACACGCTTCGCCCTATCTATATAGTAGTGAATGTTGTTGCTTTCTTCGACGTGTTAAAGTTTCCCGGTTTTCTATTTCTTTCAGCGGTAGGTGGTTTACCTAAGACCAGAGAAATTCAAAGCTACAAAAGCACGTACTGCAGAATTGATAGTGGATCAATTTTTAGTAACCTACTTAAAATATGTGTGCAGCTGTGAAACTACTCATTGATCCATTGATCATACTGTAGCTAGGTGAGATAGTGAACCTTGGTATTCGATGATAAAAACACAAAAAGGGTGCTCTACATGAACAAGTGAATCAGCGGATACGCATAGGAGTGTGCAAAAAGAAAAAAATCACATATTCAGAGTTAGTCAAGTATATTGGGTAGCAGCAGAAGATCAGTTTTGATTTCAATGTGGAAGCTATTGTTTACTGCGGATTGCATCTCTTTTTAAAGTATCAACCAGTAGTTCTTCTTTATATGTGTCTATCATGTGTAACATTCTCTTCTGCAGAGATATGTGATTTTTCGTGCTTGTTTAACTATAAAACGTGGTGGATAAGTATTCTTAATTACGGTCTTCCTCACAAGTGGGATTTCTTCATCTGTTAACTTCAGGTTGCAGGTTCTCTGGGTAATAGTCCAAGGGCTATCAGCAGGTTTTGGAGTATGGCTTGTCACCACCCAAATTTAAGCCTTAGTCAGCTAGTTGTTTCACAAAGTCCCTTTCCATACTATTCCGTTCAATTTCCTATTATAAATGTATTTATTAGTCTGAACTTCAAAAGCGGAATTGTTTTTCAGGTTTCTGTTTTAACAGTGATTTTGATAGTTGAGTGAAGACTATTGAAATCTTGTCGTTTATTTTCATTATTACACATTTATTATCCCTAGTGATGAAAGTATCGTCAACATACATTTTGTATCGAGAGTGACCGTTGATAATCAGTTTCAACAGGGTATAAATAATGGACGAAGTTTCACATTGAAAAAATACTGAGAATGAGAATTATTCAAAACCTAATTGCACTATTTCCAATTCATGACGGAATTTTACCACCAATGAGATACATTGTCGAGATTGAATTTGATAAACACATGGTAGATGCTTGTACTTTTATTTGCATACAAGTACACCTGACAGTGCTGTCTGAAATCTATCGTGAATTAAAGCACCCCTTCATCATTCTACTAAATTACTACAACTATACTAAATGCTGTCTGTTTTCACATGATAAATATATATATATATATATATATATATATGTAAGGAAGAAATGGCTGACAACTTTGGAAATATAATATGTTTGGAATAATTTTGCTTATACTGATTTTCCAGAAGTGTTCATTATCGTTCAACAGTAAGTGTTACTTCAGTGTGATACTTAATAACAAATGAAATTTCGGTTGTAAGAAGAGAACTTGTGTACTGTGGTAGAGTATAATTCAATTATGAGAAAAATTAATTTGATAAATTTTAGTTAATTTATACTAAGAAGCCCAACTTTTTAATATGATTGCGGTTAATTTCATTCTGGGTTCTTTCATTTCAGAAATCTGCTTTTATCGTAAAGATGAAGGTTATGGTAATGACACAATGGAAAAGTTTTATTATGATGCGACTGTTGGACAATGTATGAAGTTCACCTACCGTGGAGATGGAGGAAACGATAACAATTTTGATGCAAAAGACGTTTGTGAAAAAACGTGTAAATCAAGGTAATTGCATATTACGTAAAGCCAACATTTTAAAATATCACAAGTTAGTTTTTATTAGATTTGACCGAGACTACGTAATTTTCAATTAGTTTGTCGAAATATGTCCCTAAAAGAGATAGTCTATCCAATTTTCACCGTGATATAACTCAGAAATCGTCACCACTACCTCAAGACATACTGACTATAAGCAAATAAATTTAGAATGATCTAGCAAGCCTGACACACTTAAAAAATATATGACTATTGCAAGCAAGATTAACTTATACATTTAACTAGTGATACCAAGTGAAATCTGTGGTCATTCAATAGGGTTATTTCAATATTTTTAACGACGCTTCGACAATAGGTGATTGCAGACAGTTGATACCTCTGAAACTGACACTTTCGTTATTCATGTAAACTAAAATTGGCATACAGTTTCAGCTGAAAAATGGTTCTTAGCTACTTGTAAATGGTATGATCTACATTTACTGATAATTTGTTGAAGTTTATAATGAACTGGCAGCACCTGATAGCGTTTCTTAATTCATTTCTTTACTTATTTCAGTGGCACATTCGATAGACGTAAGTTGTTATTGTTGTTGGTAGAAACCTTATGAGGATTTATCATCGGAGATTTCACTGTCCTCACCGTCAGTGATTACATTCATCCGCTCAAGATTTGGAATTTCAGAGTTTAAATACTCTGTAGATCGTCAGGTTTTCGTGATGACTGACGTCTTTTCTCTAGTTTTTGAACATAATATCAGTTGATTGGCTTCCATGTTATGTAGCATCCGCTGATTATTGTCCCTGAATATCTGTAAACAGAAGGGGAAATTAACCTAATTCAATAAAATGTTGGGTTTATAGGCGAGTATATAGCTGACTAAATTAGGCAGTTGATATTTCAGATGAAGTGACACTGGTAATCGCCTAGCAATAAAAATTCAATCAGTGATGGTTGACGGTTCTCTCAAAGGGTATTTGTTTCGATATATAACAAGTGTACCATGGACAAACTGTGCTGACATAAAGAGCGGCTTATTAGTTGTAGATGCGACATAAGTGCTGTAGGGTATAATTACTTTCGTTGCTTTAATTTGACAATGTTACTCCAACCATTTGTTATTCACCAGGTTATTTAATACCATCCTGCTTCGCTTTGTGAGGATATAGTCATAAATGTGATGGCTCGCACTACATTTCAATAACTACAAATAAACAGACTGGGGTCAAAGTGTTTTTTTGACTGAAGTGAGATTTGAAATAAGTATCTCGTATGAATATAAAGATGTTTCGGTTGAATCTCAGTGTCTATTAGACGCGTTTCTCGCACACCACAGCCTCCCCAAGGTGAAGTTACACTTAGTTTCAACAAATACTGTAAAATATTCTGATATACCAGAAGAGACCATTTTGGACTACTGACTTAATTTCAACTTTGTATTCCTTTTTCAATTAGTAAATAAAATATTCTGATATCTTTATTCAAACATTGCATGTATGTTTGAAGAAATGCATTTAGATCAGCTATTAATTCGTTACGTTAGAGAAATGGAGCTCACCACTTCATTTTCATCCACATCCAGTTGATTAATCAGGTAATTTGCATAAACAGAATGGTTGTGGTGAATGTGTTTAGCAAGGTCACTTATTCCGCTGATCGACTGGTTGTGGTTTGTACTCGTTATATGAAACGAAAACTGTCCCACTTAGATTTGCCTTCTTATGTGGGAAATATCTAGTCGTTCATTGTCTAATGAACTTAGAAATTCTTCGTTGTAATACGAAAGGCACCGAAAGCCATCAGGAGGGAATGTGGGGTGTTGCTTAAGCCGCTCATTGATACTGTTGTCGATAGACGCACGAACTCCTGGAAGAAATTATCAAATATTATCCTGTTAGAATCTGAACACCCCATCCATACACAAATCTCCCCCTTTCGTCTCATCGAGTAGAAGTAGAAGAAACAATGAAGGACTGTGTGCTCGGATGACTGAGTACAGGGATTCCGGAATGACTTATTTAGGACACATTTACTGATGAGAAAAGTGTGTGACAGGAAATTGGCAACTCACTGAAGAACTCTCAGTAAGTGGCTTTTGATTTTCTTGTCATTCTTATAATGGCGTGAGTATTTCACTTGATATAATTTTGTATGTTGATTTCTTATTGAATAGTAATAATGTAAATGGCATATTTTAAGTACTGTTTGGAATAAATCTATTATTATTAATATATCACAGTTATACGAATATCAATGTTTGATAAATGCTTGAATAATTTTAGGCAACTGCCGAAAACCTCACATCCCACATTATTGTCCTGATGCTACGTACCACTACTACTATGATCAAAAGTTGAGAAGATGTGAAAACTACAGATGGCTCCAATGTGGCAAAAATGAAAATAACTTCGAGAGTGAAGAGGAATGCCAAGTAAAATGCGGATTAGCGTATGTTATTTGCTACATATTTTTGTCATTGAAACATTTACTTCACAAGATAAATAATACGGTTTTATTAACCGCTGGGTTACGCGTTCACTTTGAACTCTAAGTCATCTACAGTCTTTACAGCATATGCACTTTTTATGTAATGGTTGAACTAATTTCACCTCTGTGAGCTCATAACTTATCCCATACTCCACTCTCTTCTAAAAGCATATGAGCTTTGTAGCAAAATTGGCGTCGCTGATCAAAGTGTAGCTCAGATAATAATGTGTCACATCCGACTCATCAGGCGCTGAACAGAGTGTTGGAAAACAGCACCATTAAATACCGAAATTCATAGTCTCAATCAAAGTGTCTTACTTCTGAGAACTTCATTCCACGAATCCACAGTACTAATAAAAATATGACGCTAGAAGAGATTATTTTCAGGTGTTGGTTTTGTAATGATTTTATTTGGCTGTATGGAGGTTTTCATCATGACCTGTCATCAGTTAGAGAACCACTGCAAAACCTGGGAATACTGGACAGAAGAATAATCATCAATCCAAGCTTGGCCACGGTAGGAACAGTTTCTGAGCGTGTTCTTTTGAAGACAAATTTCCGGTTTAGTCTCCTACATAAAGCTGGAGCTGTTGCAATAAGGTCCACTTCATGCTAACATTCCCTCAATTCTATCGGATTTTTCATTTAAACTATCCGGACTTATCATGAGTGACATAATCTCTTTTCTCAACAGATACCTCCATCTGTTTCATTTCGAATATTCGTTATTTCATTATGAACCCTTCATTTCAATCTTACTATAGTCTCCTCTTTCATACATGCCACTTTGTAGTAGCCACTCACTTACCTGACACCTTTTATGACCTACCACTCACTTTAAAAATCTATTATGACTAATCTCTACCATTGTCTCCCGTTTTACAATATTTTGTAATCGATTTCAGCCCAGAGCACGTCTGTCACACAAATACGACTATTTATTTTCACACCCCATAGCTGATCTGTTATTCCACGTTAAAAATGTATCCACCGCATAACTGGCCTTCATTGTAACGACAACAAATATAATATTTTATAATTGGGAGAAGCTGAAGAGAAATTATTGAAAAGAATATTCTTCGTTCAGTTTGACTTTGAATTCATAATATGGGAATATGGGAATAATATGGAACTGACGAAATACCAATGAAATTTGCCACATCCTGAAGGGCTAATTTCTTTGAGTGATATACACTTTCGCCAGATTTTTATAGTTTGTCACTTTTATTTTTATGGTAGGAAACAAAGTTATATGAAAATCAATGCTAACTATTGTTCAATTTAATTAATTGATTTAATAATGCTTTTTTCAAAAGATTTCATAAAATAAATATATTTGACGTTGCATTTCTCAGGGACGCTCGAATATCTGCCAATAAACGTAAGTTCTTTCAAGACGAGATTTACTCTGATGTAGAATTGTCAAAATAATATTTTATTGTTGATACTTACCCAAGTAGAATCACAAAAGCCTCTTAAGCGATGTATCTGCTTCACAAATGGAGATTCATTTATTCATTTCGAGTGAAAAATAATTCTGAAATCCCACTTAATAAATGTTTATAACCTGGAGCATACAGATGTTATGAGAAAAATTTGGAATATATATACATATATCTTCGGTCAGAGAAGACAACCGAATTGATATTGTCGGTTCTGATAACATCTGATGAAGGAGGTGAAACACTCAGATAGACCAAATTTAATACACTTGGTTAGATATCAAATACCGACAGTAAACACACAAAGCTAATGCGTTACCTTGGATGAGCAAATAAGAATTTCTAAAAATCCACTCATTTCCAAAAACATAGCAGTAGAAATAGTCCACAATTCTAGTAAGCTGATAAGAATAAGCTATACAAGTTTCATTTCAACTCACAAAATCAAGAGGATTGTAGTTATAAAAACAGAGAAAACATGCTCAAGTGAATTGAAAAATTATCATCAATTCACTCAGTAGGTTAATTAAAAATAACCAAAATAATTTCACATCAAATTACACAGCTCAAGATCAACAATTTCGTAAATAATTCTTACCCAAAAAAAGTTAAATATATTTAGGTATCCGTAAAAAGTAAGCACGACAGTATAAAATAAATCGATAATTCCAGGGTTATTGAAAAAAAATCGGACAGTAAAAAAGTTGACGGAATCTTCCATTATATAATCAAAAATAAAAAACAGTGTAACGCTTTTTTTTCATGCAAAAATTTAAAAACTTTTTTATTTGGTCAACAAAAACAAAAAATAAAAAAAATTTTCTCAAAAAATTGGGGCCATGGTAAGTAATTCGAAATTAGATCGTTCATTAGATGATGAAATCCTCCATCGTGTCATTAGATATATCACACAGTGAAACGCTATTATTTACTGCATGACGTTTTTAACATAATTTATTGTTCATAATCAAATCAGTTAACATCACACGACTTCGAAAGTTGAGTTTTCTAGTTTTCCTTTTTCTCTCCTATTAATGTCAAGAGGAGTAGTAGAATTTTCCAGATATCTGGCTGTGCACGAGTTGAATCATTCCTGTTATACGTGATTTCAGTCGGTTAGATAAACAAAGCTTCCGTTATCAATCTCTCCCTCCACCCTTTTACTTTATATTTTAAGACAGTCTTCTTGTCCCATGTTATTGTATGGTTGTGTGCAACTGCACATAGTTCTGAAGCTTAACTATTCTCTAGATTTCTCATCTTATCCGGATCAAATAATGTAGATTTCGTTGCTAGGTTTTTATGGTCCGCTAGTCTGACTGCACTCGTTCTGCTAATTTGACCTATGTATTTGACCTAACATTCATTGAAGCCAATCATTTGATGAAGCAAACTGTTCCTTTTAATTGGCTTGACAGGATCCTTTAACCAAGAAACACTTTTTTCAATTGAGCTTGTGCGTTTGAGTGCGGGCCACTTTCATTCCTAAGCTGTTAGGAATTCTGCGTAAGGTTTCCAAAATTCCTTCTTTGTATGGAAGTACAACTGATAGATTAGATTCGTTAATGTCAGTGTTGTCATTATCCTGCACATGTTAGACATACATGTCGTCGTTATTATTGTCATCATCAACATTGTCACTATTGTTATGATTGATTTTATATTAACATTAGTATGTATAATTCCTCAATAATTTATAATGGTAATTCTTAAGTTTCAAAGCTTCTCGTGTATGCCTTACATCCTGTATTAGAATTTACTCAGTACGAAACGTGTTTGTGCCGTGTTACATAAAATGTTCCTCAGTCTTAGTTAAATAGGATGTGATCATCGTAATGCAAATATCAGTTCGAATGTGTGGGTTTCCTGTGAATACTAATGATTTACTTCCCAAATTCATTCCCATTTACGCTACAATCTAACACTCGAAGCTAGCCTTACACGAAGATATCCAAAAAGACTAGTAATACGAAAGATATCAAGGTAAATTGGAGCGAAAGAATTCATGAAACAAAACTAAGAGGATTTGAAATGAAAACCATGTTAAGTGGTAAATTGAGAAAGAAGAAACCACTCAGAATATTTTGTCGCCGACTGTTTGAGATTAGGCGCTTACCGACTTTCCGATTTGTTGTGACGCAAAACTTCATTGAAGGCGGCGGAGTGGTTAACCGTGAACGCACAAAATCAATCTCTTATGCATATTCACATTTAAATGTTTCACATTGTGCAGCACCTACGCCAAGTAAGTTCATGTTCTCCGTGTTTTTAATTGCATTTGACTCGAATTCAATACACATATATATATATATATATATATATATGGATGTATATAAATACATGTCTGTGCAAAATGTGGTCACTGTGATAGTAAGTAATTCGAAATTAGATCGTTCATTAGATGATGAAATCCTCCATCGTGTCATTAGATATATCACACAGTGAAACGCTATTATTTACTGCATGACGTTTTTAACATAATTTATTGTTCATAATCAAATCAGTTAACATCACACGACTTCGAAAGTTGAGTTTTCTAGTTTTCCTTTTTCTCTCCTATTAATGTCAAGAGGAGTAGTAGAATTTTCCAGATATCTGGCTGTGCACGAGTTGAATCATTCCTGTTATACGTGATTTCAGTCGGTTAGATAAACAAAGCTTCCGTTATCAATCTCTCCCTCCACCCTTTTACTTTATATTTTAAGACAGTCTTCTTGTCCCATGTTATTGTATGGTTGTGTGCAACTGCACATAGTTCTGAAGCTTAACTATTCTCTAGATTTCTCATCTTATCCGGATCAAATAATGTAGATTTCGTTGCTAGGTTTTTATGGTCCGCTAGTCTGACTGCACTCGTTCTGCTAATTTGACCTATGTATTTGACCTAACATTCATTGAAGCCAATCATTTGATGAAGCAAACTGTTCCTTTTAATTGGCTTGACAGGATCCTTTAACCTAGAAACACTTTTTTCAATTGAGCTTGTGCGTTTGAGTGCGGGCCACTTTCATTCCTAAGCTGTTAGGAATTCTGCGTAAGGTTTCCAAAATTCCTTCTTTGTATGGAAGTACAACTGATAGATTAGATTCGTTAATGTCAGTGTTGTCATTATCCTGCACATGTTAGACATACATGTCGTCGTTATTATTGTCATCATCAACATTGTCACTATTGTTATGATTGATTTTATATTAACATTAGTATGTATAATTCCTCAATAATTTATAATGGTAATTCTTAAGTTTCAAAGCTTCTCGTGTATGCCTTACATCCTGTATTAGAATTTACTCAGTACGAAACGTGTTTGTGCCGTGTTACATAAAATGTTCCTCAGTCTTAGTTAAATAGGATGTGATCATCGTAATGCAAATATCAGTTCGAATGTGTGGGTTTCCTGTGAATACTAATGATTTACTTCCCAAATTCATTCCCATTTACGCTACAATCTAACACTCGAAGCTAGCCTTACACGAAGATATCCAAAAAGACTAGTAATACGAAAGATATCAAGGTAAATTGGAGCGAAAGAATTCATGAAACAAAACTAAGAGGATTTGAAATGAAAACCATGTTAAGTGGTAAATTGAGAAAGAAGAAACCACTCAGAATATTTTGTCGCCGACTGTTTGAGATTAGGCGCTTACCGACTTCCCGATTTGTTGTGACGCAAAACTTCATTGAAGGCGGCGGAGTGGTTAACCGTGAACGCACAAAATCAATCTCTTATGCATATTCACATTTAAATGTTTCACATTGTGCAGCACCTACGCCAAGTAAGTTCATGTTCTCCGTGTTTTTAATTGCATTTGACTCGAATTCAATACACATATATATATATATATATATATATATGGATGTATATAAATACATGTCTGTGCAAAATGTGGTCACTGTGATAGTAAGTAATTCGAAATTAGATCGTTCATTAGATGATGAAATCCTCCATCGTGTCATTAGATATATCACACAGTGAAACGCTATTATTTACTGCATGACGTTTTTAACATAATTTATTGTTCATAATCAAATCAGTTAACATCACACGACTTCGAAAGTTGAGTTTTCTAGTTTTCCTTTTTCTCTCCTATTAATGTCAAGAGGAGTAGTAGAATTTTCCAGATATCTGGCTGTGCACGAGTTGAATCATTCCTGTTATACGTGATTTCAGTCGGTTAGATAAGCAAAGCTTCCGTTATCAATCTCTCCCTCCACCCTTTTACTTTATATTTTAAGACAGTCTTCTTGTCCCATGTTATTGTATGGTTGTGTGCAACTGCACATAGTTCTGAAGCTTAACTATTCTCTAGATTTCTCATCTTATCCGGATCAAATAATGTAGATTTCGTTGCTAGGTTTTTATGGTCCGCTAGTCTGACTGCACTCGTTCTGCTAATTTGACCTATGTATTTGACCTAACATTCATTGAAGCCAATCATTTGATGAAGCAAACTGTTCCTTTTAATTGGCTTGACAGGATCCTTTAACCTAGAAACACTTTTTTCAATTGAGCTTGTGCGTTTGAGTGCGGGCCACTTTCATTCCTAAGCTGTTAGGAATTCTGCGTAAGGTTTCCAAAATTCCTTCTTTGTATGGAAGTACAACTGATAGATTAGATTCGTTAATGTCAGTGTTGTCATTATCCTGCACATGTTAGACATACATGTCGTCGTTATTATTGTCATCATCAACATTGTCACTATTGTTATGATTGATTTTATATTAACATTAGTATGTATAATTCCTCAATAATTTATAATGGTAATTCTTAAGTTTCAAAGCTTCTCGTGTATGCCTTACATCCTGTATTAGAATTTACTCAGTACGAAACGTGTTTGTGCCGTGTTACATAAAATGTTCCTCAGTCTTAGTTAAATAGGATGTGATCATCGTAATGCAAATATCAGTTCGAATGTGTGGGTTTCCTGTGAATACTAATGATTTACTTCCCAAATTCATTCCCATTTACGCTACAATCTAACACTCGAAGCT